AGCAGGAAATAATTGCCTCTTTCCCAGACTAAAGAACCACAGGTTGGTTTTTTTTGCTCTTTGAAATTCTCAGCCAATAGTCCCTGCTTCCCATGGGGCCGGGGGGGGTGGGCTCTGCTCCCTCCCACTCCCCTCATTAAACCAACTCAGAGAAGCTGAACGGCGCCAGCCCCTTCCTACACACCCCATAAAGCTGACAGGCAATTACATCCAGAGAGGGGAGCCACGCTGGGAGAGCAAGGAAAAGCTCAGGAAGGCAGTGAAAAGAGGGCTTTTTTTGTACCCACACTTCCCAAAGAACATCAGCCAGGACCTTATGGGATGTTCCTTCCCCTTGCAGGTTGTGTCCTTCCATCTCCCACGTTGGCAGGGAAGGTGGAGGAGCAGGAGCAAAGAGCTGCTGGGATTGATGTTCACTGTCTCCCGTGGGAAAGGGCAGGGAGCCTGCAGGTGGATAGCACTGAGGGAGCTGCTGCAGAGGCTCAGCAGGAGCTCTGCTCACCCATCCATGTCCTAGGGGCTCTGGAGCAGCAGGAAAGGAGCTGCCTGTGGGAGAGGAGCTGACTGAGCTGGCAAATGCCACAAGCACAGGATGGCCTTGCCTGTGGAGGAAACAAATGCATTTGGAAGTGCCTGGAGCTTCCAGGACACTCAAATGCATAAAAAGCAGATTTGTGGGGGGGAGGCTGGGCCCCTTGGCTGTGGAGGTCAATCCAGGAATAGGTTCTAATTCCAAACCTAATGCAGGGTTCAGCTGGCAGAGGTGACCTCCAAGGGTGTGGTATTTCCACGGCCTCTTCCTCTCACCCTAAGCACTAATCCCTCCAGAGGCACCAGCCAGCTCTCCCTCCAGCCCTGCCATAAGAGCTCATGGCAGAGGCTGCAAATTAAGAGTGGCTTCAAAAGGGGAGACCCAGCAGGGAGGAGAGGGAGCTCAGCAGAGGAGCAGGAGCTCTGAGCATCTCCTGGGGTGCCTTTGTGGCCTAAGTACCTCCCTGATCCTAGAGGTGCTAGGTGAGACATTCTGGTGTCTCAGACACCCCCTTTGCTCACCCCAGCACCCTCCATCTGTAGCCCCACCCTGATGGGTGCCAGCAGCAGTGGGATGGAGACAAACCTTCACCCTTCTCTTCCTTCCCCCCCATCCCATCCACACTACAGCTCCAAGGGAGAAGCCAGGGCAGGTGACTGGTTCCCTCTGCCTTGTGCCAGCAGCTTCTGTGCCAACAATGGAATCAGCCCAAAGCTCTGGAAGTGTGAGGTTGTTTTTTTCCTCTCAAATAAAACTCCATTAATAATCAGCAAAGCATTTAATGAAAGGCTAGAATAAGGTATCAGCATTAAAAGGGGATTAAGGGCAATCTTCACTGCTTGGGCCTCCTTGCTGCATGGGGGCTGTTCTGACCTGCTCTTGCGAGGGTCCAAGGTGGGGAGGAATAGGGCAGGGCTGGGACTCACATCCCTGGGGACTGTAGGATGGCAGCTCACCTGAGGAAGGGTCCCTGAGGGAAGGAAACAAGACACACTTTAAGCATGAGCAGTTTTGAAGCAGCCATTTACGTCTAAAAATCATCATGATTTCCTCTTAATTAATTGGAGTTTCCCCTTAAAGAAAGGGCTGCAAGTTCTGACATGAAAACAGGAGCAGCTTTTCATCCAAGCACACAGCTCCAGTTCAAACTGGGCCAAACAGCTCCTCTGCCAGCTCCCAAGGTGGGATTTGCTCTGGCAGGCATGGCAGCCTTGGCCCTGGGATGAAGCTGAACCAGAAATTTTGTACCATCTGGGTCCCTCAGAGACCAGCCAGGGCCCCAGCTTCCATGGAGGAACACACACAAGGAAGGTTTGATGGACAGTGTGTTCCTTGCCACCTCACACCCAGTGGGGGAAGAAACAGCCCCTGGGACCATCCCATCCTCTGCACCCACTTCCAGAACACCAGCAGCTTTCCTGGCTGCCACAGGCACAGAAGCAAAGTTTCCAGGAGCTGCACTGAGCTCTAGAAGGAGCCAAACATTGGGATTTGGCACCTCAAGGCCCTGCTAGAGATGCCGACCCCCTACAGCCAGCTGGGAAACAGACATTGCCCCTTCCCCACCCAACCTCAGTCAGGCTGGCACTACAAAGAGCCCCAACTGGCCCTGAGAGCCAAAAGCAGTGTAGAATATCTTGGAACAGTGATTAGATTTCAGAAAGTCATGATCTCATCATGCATCTCCTGGGAGCGGGGAGAAAAGCATCGTCGCAGATTAAAATTCTTGTTCCAAATTATTCCCTCAGCTCTGGGAGCAGGAAACTCATTTTCCTGGCTTTGTATTCCTGTCAAAGCCCGGGCTTCATTCTCTTTGCATATCGCTTTTATACTCGTTTGACACCACTGATTTATTGTAGCTACTCCTGACCTGTGGTAGTGAAAGGAAAGGCATGTTCAGACCTGCTGTCCCAAGTCTTCCTGCATTATCTCCTGACTCCAACTACCTCACCTCTCTCTCAGGTGTTACTGTGAAAGGGGTTTCTAGAGTTCTCTTGACCCTCCACATCAGCTGACTTCTCCCCTGCCCACATTCAGAGTCCTGCTGCCCTCCACCCTCTCTCACCAATTCCCAGAGAGGTTGGTTGCTCCTCTCCAGATCTTCCCAACTCCCCCATGTTTTTATGTCATCAGGAAACTTAAGACACTTTCATGCTGCTCTTGCTTCAAGGTCACAGATTTCAAAGTGGACTCAGTGTGATGTGCTGTACATTCCCTTTTTCCAGAGCAAAGCTTTTCCCCTCAAACTCTGCTCTCTGTTCCTGTGAGGTTCATTCATCTCTTTTCCAAGGCCTCCTCAACCTAAGCTGGGTACATCAGTGGCAGCTCCTAATATTTTTTTTTTAAATTAGCTCCTAAAAATATCCAGGAAAGACAACCATGCTGGGATTTAACTCTACAGCTGCACTTTGAGAAGGGTGAAGTGCCTGGCTGCAGCTGGAGACTGTTTTGTCTCCATCTCTCAGCTCCGTCATGTCCTCCGTGTGTTCCAGCAAATTCCCCAGGCATGACTCACAGCCCTGCCCTGTGCATTCCCATCTGCTGACTGCCCCTTCCTAAAATTAGACCTTACTCCTGTTGGCACATGCCTACAGTCACGGGGGAAGGTGAGGAGCTGCAGACCCATGTCCCTTCCTTGTGGCACAGCAGTGAGTCCAGAAGGGACCAGTGTTCAGGCTGAGGGGGATGATCCATCTCCCTGCTCAGCCTGTCCTTGGTCCTGGCTGCTGCAGAGGAGGAGAAATGTTCCTGCTCTCTGGAAGCTGGCTGGAGACCACTGCCTCATCCCTGAGAGATGAGATGACCAGGTGCTTCAGAGAAGAAGGACACCTTCCCCTGTGAAATCCTGGAGACCACATTTGCTCCCTGCTGCTCCTCCTCCTGAAGTCCCAAATTCATGTGGGTTTAACCATCCACCTTTCAGCAACCTTTGTGCTCATGGAAGGACTCGCTAGAGTCAGTCTGGATCAAATCAGCTCATCCAGACATCATCTTCCTAAGGTTCCCACTGCTGGATGTGGATATCCTATTTGCAAGAAAGAGGCAGGACTCTGGGTGTTGTCTGGGGAGGGGAGAAAGGAATAAGGTCATTGCTAAGTGTGGAACAGCACTGACCTTCAGCTGGGGCTTTTTGTACTCCCATTATTTCCTCTGTTCCCAGGGAAACATTCACTGGGAATGAAGTCAGTTGTTAGGAGACACTGACACTACAGCTAGAATATTTTTGGCCACATCCAGGCAGCTGGAACAGACTATAAATCCAACAAGTGCTACTGGAGACGTGCACACGTGCAGCCTTCTTTTACTGTTGACCCCAGCCCAGAAGGGCAGTGGTGGGCAATGGTTACAAAGCAATGAAAGTGTTATTCTTTGGTGAGAGTGAGAAAATAAAGACTCCTTCTCACCCATCTGACCTCCTGGGGGTAGTAAGAGTCTTACCAGTCTCCTTATCCTTTACTGCCCTTGGGCTTGGGGCACAAGCTGGAGGTTGTGAGTTAAATTTGAGTTGAATGGAGGGAAGAGTTCAACTCACTGCACAGAGCACTGGGAGGACTTTGCCCAGTTACGAGGCAAAACCTTCCCCCTGAGATGCCAGGAAGGGCTGGGCAGGGTGCAGGGTGCAGATCCCTTGGGAAGAGGCTCCTGCTGAGGGTGTGCTCAGCTGGCACCTCCCAGCCCAGCTCCCCTTGGCAGGGCTGGCAGCCACACAGAGCCACTCTGCAGCTGGAAACCCAGCTGTGCTCTGGAACTGGGAATAAAAAGGGAGCCTTGGGCTACTGATTCCATGGTCTGCCCCTGTCACAGGACCATGCTCCTGCAGCATGTTGTGTCCTGCCAGCCATGACAGGGTGGCTGCTGGATGTCCTCCAACCATCTGAGAGACAGCCCATCAGCCACAAAGCACAGAGGAAAAAAATGTCTGTCAAACTAGCAGGGAAAAGAAAAAAGAAACACTCCTATTTACTGATCCTGAATTTCAAGCCTCCAGAGGGCTCATCAAAGCATTCAGTTCTCATATTTCCAAGGCAGATTTTGCATTTCCTCCCAGCTGTCACTGTCAGACTGTAACAGGAACCAACAGAGCACACGTGGTGTGTGGCTGGGCAGGATGAGATGAATGAGCTGCTCCCTGGTCTGCTGAATTGTCAAAAGAAACTCTTCCCAAGGGTCAGCTACTTCACCCATGTCTCAGGCAGCTCATGTTCTCAGCAGACATCTCCTAGAACCTCACTGGCAATTGAGACATGGAGTCCCTCCAATTTCCAGGTCCCACACCCAGCCCCATGCCCAGGAAGGACCCTGAACAAGGTTCTTTCCCACTCCCCTCCCTGCCCTGGCTGTCTCCTGCTGTGACTGTGCCCCTGTCAAGGCTCTGCTCTCCCTCCTTGCAGACAGCCCGTCGGCTCCAGTCAATGTCACAGTCAGACACCTGAAAGCCAACTCAGCTGTTGTGACTTGGGATGTTCTGGAAGATGAAGTTGTCATTGGATTTGCAATTTCCCAACAGGTATGGTGCCAACAGTGACCCAGTTTCAGTCACCTTCATCTTCACCCCAGGTCCCCCTCAGTTTCCAAATTCTCTGGCTGCAGCTTAAGCCCATTCCTTCTCGTCCTGTCCCTCGTGGTCTGGGAGGGGACTTGGCTTCCCATCCTCTTTGCAGCAGCTCTCCTGCTATTGGTAGCTGCAGAGAGGAAAGGCTCTGGTGGCCTCCAGGTCCGTGGTGGACAGGGCAGGAAGCAGTGGTCTTAGATGCCAGCAGTGCACACGGGAGGCCTCTCCACCACTCTGTGCTCTCCTCTCTCGGCTTCCAGAAGAAGGACGTGCGGATGCTGCGCTTCATCCAGGAGGTGAACACCACCACCCGCTCCTGTGCCCTCTGGGACCTAGAGGAGGACACTGAGTACATTGTGCATGTCCAGTCCATCAGCATCCAAGGCCAGAGCCCTGCCAGTGAGCCAGTCCTCTTCAAGACCCCCAGGGAAGCTGAGAAACTAGCCTCTAAAAATAAAGGCAAGTGTGGGTGAGTTCCCGTGTGGCCCCTGGGACACCCAGGCAGTGCAGGGCTCTGCAGAGAGGAGAGCAGCACCCTGTGCAAGGAGAGCAGCTGGGATAAAGGCATCCAGGGCTGAGGGTCCTGTCCCAGTTCCACAAGGAGGAGTGGGATGCCCTGAGTGTACCCAGCAGACAAGGTTGATGCAAAATGTTAGGGAGATGCTGGTGGAGGCTGGCTGCTCATTTCTCCCATTTCAGATGAGGTTTAACAGGCAAAGTGAGGAGGAGGAGGAGGCTTCCAGCCTGGGAGCAGAGTGTCCAGCATCCTTGCAAGTGAAGAATGCCAGGAGAAATTCCTGAGCAGCCTGTGGAACTAGACTCCTGGGTGGCACTAGGCACAACACTGCTGTGCTCACAGGGCACTCAAGGAGATTTGCTGGGCCTCCTGTGCTTGGATTCCAGGACAAGAGGGGGAAAAAAATACCCAGAGACTCCCACTTTTCTTGCATTTCAAATGTTTCTGCCAAATCACAGAAAGCTGAGGTTGGAAGAGACTTCTTGAGATCACCTAGTTCAAACCCCAGCTCAAGCAAGCAGGGTCAACTAGAGCAGGTTGTCCAGGGTCATGTCTAGTTGGGTTTTGAACATATCCATGGAGGAAATCTGGCACTTCCTCACTGGCAACCCCCTCACTTGTTCCTCTTAAGCCAAACCAGATGGTTGAAGGTTTTCTGTCAGCAAGAATCTTGGCTACAGAAAGGGCTGGGGAGTGCAGGGGTGTGGGGCACAAGGGGTTACTGCCTGCCTGCCATGACCCAGCCTGTTGCAGGGCTTTTGACTTCCTAGGATGTTGTGAGTTCTCAACTCTTCCTGCTAAAATGATTTGGTATCTGTAAATACTGAATTGCTGTTCATCCGAAAGCACAAAAAGGAGCAGTGCTTCCCTCCCTGGAGACCCCAGCTGTCATCTTCTTAGTGCTTTGAAGCCAAGGAGGCACATTAGGCTGTGCAAAAAGGCTCAACTCATTTCCGAATCCCGTGGCTCCACTGCAAGGATCACACCAGGCTCCACACTCCCCAGCTGGGAGAGGAACTGCTGGAGCATGCAAGGCTTTGTGACAGGGACCAGAGGCAGGGCAGAGCGAGCCACCACGGGGGCAGATCAGGTGTGGACTTAGCCCACAGCAGCTCCTCTGTGCTCCCTTCCTGCTGCCCCTGCCTCACTGCTACCCCATCTCCCGCAGAGTGTCAGGAGCTCCCTCTGAGCAGCTGATGCTCCACAAGCTCCATGTGCAGCTCGAGCTGCTGGTGTGAGGGGTGAGAACTGTCCCTGCCAGCTCTGCCCACCACACCCTGATGACTGGAGCCAAGGGCACTGTTAAACTGGTGTCCAGCCCAGCTCAAGCCACACTGCCAGGCCTCATGATCTCTCTTTCCCCCTGTGCAGATGAGGTGACAATGAAGGAGATGGCGATGAAAACCCAACAGCTGCGAGCGGGGGAGATTCTCATCATTGTTGTGGTGTTGTTTATGTGGGCAGGTCAGTCCAACCTTTCTGTCACAAGAACCTCATACCCCCCAGGGCCTGCTGCCTCACTTGGTTTGCTCCTACAATCATATAAGACCAAAAAGAAACCCTTCCTCCCACCGAGGGCTCTGCACATCCAGCTCTGAGGGCACCTCGGTCCCCTGTGCAGCGTCACAAGTTGGCAGTGCCAAAAGCAGGTGAATCAGTGGGCTGGGCTGGTCCAGCAGGAAGCAGATAATGGATTTGATCCACTAATTGCCTAATTCATCATGGCTAATCCTGTAATCTCAATTTTTCCAGAATGCACTGCTGACAATGCCCTCAGCCAGCCAACAGGATGCCTCCAAGTCCTTGAAATGCTGCAGGTCACTGCAATTATCTGTTATTTGTGGCTCCAAATTTTATGCAAATCAGAAATGTACAAGTCTCACACTCAACACCCACTATTATATGGACACTAAAATGCCCTTCAAAATCAATAAAAATATTGGAAGCATTGAAAGAACAAGTGGCCCCAAACATCAAAACCTCAATAAACCCAGATCCTCTCAACATCCACTGTTAAAACACAAAGAACAGGATTTAATAGGAAAAGGAGGGACATCAGCAGAATCATATTCACCTAAAGGAAGGAAAAGTCTAGATGAGCTTGAGATGGTGTGGGGGAAAAAAATGGTGTGGGTTCCAAAGAGAACCAAGAGTTTTTCTGACATGACTTGAAGAACATATTTCAACAGACCTCACAGAAATGGCTCCTATGATTTAAAGTAGCAAATAGGGAGAAGAAAATGCCCCTGAGTCCTGTTCCTCCAGCTTGGCATGTGTGAAGTGGCTGCAGCCAGCCCTCCAGCCTGCTCCTTTTGGGAATGACATGCCTGAGTTAATGGGAAATCAAGTCTGGAGGTGTTTGTTTTCTATTTCAAGCCCTGGCCTCCCCTGGCTGCCAGGCAGCTGCTGCTCCTGCTGCAACGTAAAACATTAATGAAACAAGATTTGCTCCCTGCGAGGCACAGAGCACGTTGCCCACAGGGAAGGGTTAAGGTGACCCAAGGAAATTGGCAGGCCAGGAAATCAGCTCCACGGCAAAGCTACGAGGCAGAGGAGACAACCTTTGCCACTCAGAATGTAGCCCTCTTGTCAAGCTGCGTTTCTACACAGAGTGTGTGTAAATATTTGCACAGAGATTTCTCCTCAGTCAGAAGTGAAGGTGTGTCCCCCAGGAGCACTGACTGGCTAGTGGCTTTGGCAGCTTGTCCCACCTGGGAAGGTGTTGGTCTGTCACCTCTGCTGCTGGAAACTGTCACAATCCTCACCTGAGAGGAGCTGCACCAGTTTACTCCAGCAGAGGATCTGGCCCATTTACACAACATTCTGCTGAGATGAGACACCTACAGGGAGAGATGTGAAGAGGAAAGAAGCCACTGTTCTGAGATCTGTCACAGAGGAAGGGGGTGGGGGGACTGACTGTGTCCTGTTCAGCTCTGCAAGTTCTCTTGCAAGTGAATCCAGGTGACACAGAATCAGATCCACATATATTTTTCCCCCCCCTGGAAAGTCTTGAGTTTGCCACTATTTGCATTTCCAAATGGACAGCAATCATTGCTGAAGATGATGAGCAAATTAAAGCCTAAACTAAATCACAAGGCTTCCAAAACCACAATCTTTTCAGCATCTATGTCAAGTTTTACCTCTGCACACTCAAATTTAAATGCCCTGCCAGTAAAAACAATCACGAATAATTACATCAAGTGACTGAACAACTGATTCATCTCCCACTGTAGTGTAATCTAAAACTCAGATCAGCATCTGAACAAAGAATTTGTTCATACCACAGTTTCATCTCTAGACAGATGACTTACATTTAAAAAGGAAAGTGGGTGGGGAGAAAAATCTCTCTACATCTCCTGGGTTTCTTTTACAAAGTCTCAATATACCAGAACCTCTGTCCAGCTCTTGGCCTGGCCATAACCTGAATGTATGTCAATGTTGTAGCAACCAGAAACTGGAACAAGTCTGTGCCCAGGGCTTTGAATGGAAACAAGACCTAAGCTCTTGTGCTGTCTTTCTGGTATTGTTCACAAATTTTGTTTCTCTGTGCCTCAGTTTTACCATCAAAAATCACAGAAGGTGTGACTGGAGCAGGTGTTAACCTGTTCTCCTAGGATCAGCCATTTGTTCACAGAGGCAAGAAAGAATTTGGACGACTGGGTTTACCAGGAATACCTGGGGTCAACTGCCAGAAAAACACCTCACTTTATACAGCAGTTTGTGATCATCTGGTGAAAGCTTGACAGATGTTTTGCTATTAGGGGAGCTGGAATGATTTTCAGTAAGGGAGAAGCAGCACCTGCCTGGCTCTGCTTAACCTCTGTGTTTATTTGACCAAAATGTCACAGAAAAGCTTCTAAGAAAGGCATTTGCAGTCGCCTAATGTGGCATGGCTGCCTCTGCTCTTCTCTCCATGTCCCTGCTGTGTGAGAGGAAATTTCCACTGGCAGCTTTTGCTGCCGTCACTGTTGCATGTTTGCAGATGTTGTCCTGCACAAGAGGCCCTGGCTTGTACCAGGCAGGTGCTGTACTTGCCTTTCACCTGCCAGTTCTTGCTCCTTCTCTCCACTCCCGAGGAGAAAGGCCAGAGGACATATTTGCACTAACCAGAAATTCCAGGAGCTCCTGTGTCTGCAAAGCAAAGAGCCCGCACGGTTTGTGTTGATCACTATCCAAGGGCTTAAAACACTTGTCCCAGTCAATGACAGGGAAGCCAGAATATAATTCATCTTCTGTCCTTCTGCCTAACTAGTTTAGCATGGAATTAGGCATTGAGAAGGAAACAGCCAGAGGGCTGACAGGCTGTGTTAGGAAATGATCCTGAGGAGCAACTGTGAAAGCTGCCGAGGTCTCCAGCTGAAGGCACAAACCCGGCTGGCAAGGGGGGGATCTCTGATCTCTGCAGGCTCCAGGGGCTGAGCTCATTTCTGTGATCACTAACGCTCTTTCCTGTCAGGGGTGATCGCCCTGTTTTGCAGACAATACGACATCATCAAAGATAACGAGCCAAACAACAGCAAGGAGAAAGCCAAGAGCGCCTCGGAGAACAGCACCCCCGAGCACCAGGGCGGGGGGCTCCTCCGCAGCAAGGTGAGCTGTGGCCACCGGGACCAGGCAGGCAATCGAGCAGCCTCTGCTAAACACCCTCCCCTCTAGCTGGGTAGCAGAACGGGAACACCCCCTGACACCCAGGCATGCTTGGTGAGCAGGGTGAGCCTCCCAGACACACCAAGAGATCAGCACTTCACTCCCACCTCTGGGTTGGCCTGCACGTCCGGCAGTGAAATATAGATTTCATTTCCTATTTCTAAAATACACAAACATCTATGGAAGAAAAATCCACTGAGGGGATGCTGGAGTTCCCAGGTTGCTTGGGTCCTTACCCCACAGCAGCCCTCAGGTGGCTAAAGGTGATGCTCCTCTTGCAATTAACCAAGAACTGATCAGCAGGAGCGTGGCTGGTAGCACACAGGACACAGTCATATAAGCAGACTCAAGCCTGTAATTAATATCAACTTATTCTAATTCATTTAACTTTCTTGTGTTTCTATTCACAACTTGCACTCTGGCACAGCTTCATATTTCATTATTATTTGCAATAGTCCACTCATTCTCACTCAGACAGTGATGAACCATGAAACCCAAATGCCTCCACTCCAGCCCTTTTCCTTTATCCTGAGGGGATGGGAAATAAGAATTTCTACTGCACTGAGCTCTGAGATGTTGGGTTTTTTCCTCTCTAGCAGCTCCTTAACATCCAATCTTCCCTCTGTCTCCTCTTCTCTTCTAGTTTCCAAAAAACAAGCCCTCAGTGAACATCATTGAAGCATGACAGCCTGCAGGCTGATAGATGGACTCCATTCCTCACTCTCACTTTCTGCCTCTGAGCCTTGATGACTAGGGAGGTGAAATATTGTTGGAGCAATTTGGAAAGAGACCTAGTGATTGTCACTTGCTGGCACACACCTCCTCGCCTGTGTTCTACAAAACATCTGGCCAGGAAGAAAAATCCTGCAAAAAAAACCCCCTTGAAACCCAAACAATGAAGGTGGAAAAGCATCAGTGAGCAGATGCTGCCCATGGTCCTGTGCTGGAGCCATGAATCACCTGGGCTGGAGCAACATCGCACACACTCCTCTCCAACCCTCACACTCCATCTTCTGGAATGATTTTCCTGTCTTTGGAAATGTACAAGGTTTTGTTGTATCTTTATTTTGTCTCACTCCACCTTGAGAGCACTAAGGTGAGCTCAGGCATCAGTCACTGTCACTTCTCTCCAAGCCAGGAAAGGGCAAAGCTCATCACAGACACAACCAGCAACCAGCTTTCAGCTGCTGTGTGTCCTGGCCTTGCTTGTTCCACTGGTGTGTGTTGTGGAACACATCTGGGTGGGTTTTTCAAAGACAAAAAAGAAAGACATACCCCAGTTTCCATTCCCACCTTCCCTGGTTGTTCTCCAGGGAGGCTGCAGCACATCTCCACCCTCACACTGGTGCTCTTCACCTTAGACAATCAGGGCACACCCAGTGCAGAGGCACAGACCAAGAGGAGGGGACACCAGGAGCAGTTCTTTTCTGTAATAATAATTTCTGATCATTTCAACCATTTCCTTGACAGGATTTTCAGCTGGGCCTGAGTCCACCACCAGTGTGATAGAAGGTCCATAAAAATGTAGCCAGTAAGCAAAAAAAAAAAAGAAATAACCAGAAAAAAACTCATGATCCTGGTTGCTATGCAAGGTCTCCACTGGCAATAGCCATTTATTGTGAAAGGTTCTTGCCTAAGGGACCTTTTTTTGAGGGCTGAAGTTCTTAAAATGCTTCTTTTAGTATGGTTCCTGTGGGAAGGTCTGGTTCTCCTTACGAGTCCTGTCTGCACTATTTTTGAGAGGTTGTTAAGCCAAGTGTCTGCTGGAGGGCAGATCCATGGACAGGATGATGAGGGATGGGAAAGGGGTTGGGGTTCTCCTCTCTTTTATTGAGTGCTTGATGTTTGTAAGGTGACAGGATCCCTGGGATTGCTGGTGCTCTGGAAGCTGGTAGATGCAAGCCCACCAGGTGGGAAAGCTGTACTCTTTGTCATGTGCCATGGGGTATTTTGTGTTTAGCTAATTACTCCACAAGACCACTCCATATGCACTAGGGGATAAGGCAAGATCCTATTAGTTCCATCAAATACCAAGGCAGGTTGGCCGGGGTAGGGTTTGAATCTCCTTACAACAAACCTGCACTCAGATGAGCCTGGTTGAAAAGTCCCTGTGAAGAAACAGGCTGGCAGGAACAGAGTTCAGCCATTTCTCCTCTTCCTACATCACCAGCCTTTCCAAAATAGCTGATTCAGGAGAAGGGCACTAGCAATCTGCTTGCAGATGTGCTGCTGAACAAGGGCTTCCCTTGTGCCAGCTGCAGAAGACAGGCCAACCCCAAAGGTCTCTTCAGTGGATCCTTTGCCAGAACATACTCCTCCATCACCAAGAGGGAGAGGTCAACACCTCTGATACAGACAGAGCAATAAACATTTTATAATGTACAATAAAAGATTAAAGGCATCTCCTGTGTCCTTGTAATGTTGGAATTTAGCAGGATTTAATCTTCTCCTGCTCTGAACAGAATGCACACACTAGAACAGGGGAACCCTCTGTATTTCTCAGGGGTGATAGCATGGAATGTTTTCTCAGCAACAGGGCGTAGAGAACCAGAAAGGTTCAGTGTTCACTTTGGTTGCAGGATGAGGGGGGGAAAATCCAAACCTGCAACATAACTAGCACTCCAGCCATACCTAACAAGCTTCTTCAGACATGTCTGTTATGTCCCAAGACAGAAATGTTGTTTGGAATCCATAACCCTACAAAGGGAGATTCAAGACAGATGGTGTGGCATGTGCAAAATAACAGAGATGCTCTCTTCTAATCCTGGAGCAGGGAGCCAAGCAAGCAGCCCTGGGAAGTGAGGAAAAGCAGTTTAGGGGGGTGATGTGTCTGTTTTTAAAGACAGTTGTCCCTGAGAATTCAGACCCCACCCTTTATTTTATTTTTATTTTTTTTTACAGGAACTCTTGTTGTTCCCTACTGATGGGTTTAAACTATTTCTTTCCTAACAGAGAAGTGCTCACTCATTGCTTGGTAGAAAAGGTTTAAAATTCAGAGCTTTGGTGCTCACACAGGGTTAAGTGCTCACACCATCACATGGCAGGAGGTAAAAGGGGTGATCAGTATGATCCATAACTGCAGGCTTTAAAAGTAAGGTAATAATGTTATTAGTGACAGGGAACAAATGGAGGCTGGCAGCAACTCTGCTCATCCGAGAGAGACTCCAGACCATCCAAGTGATTCTCTTAAAGGAAATGTTTTCAGCAACTCTGAATTGATACAATAAATCCAGGAAAAAGGTGTCTCCCATTATAGGAGAAGTTATTTAAGATCTTACTTTTCTGAGGGTCATAAACACCAAAGCTTTAGCTGCTGTTTTGGTGTCAGCTTCTACCATAACCCATGGGAGTCAGATCCCACTAATGCTCTGGGGCTGTGACTTCAAGCCTGACCCCATCTTTAGAATAGCTCCCTCATCCTCCTCAGCAGCTGCCAAAAGAAAATCCTGAGGTGTTTTACAGTCAATAAAGGGAAGAGATCAAGAAAAAAATCCAAGTCAACACTGAAGAAAGTGATGCTGGGCCACAGAATGCACCCTGAAGGCCACCCATGTTTCCCTGACTGCTGGTTTTGCCTGGCTCTGGGGAGCAGGGACAGGAAAGGGAGGTGTGGGTGGAACACCAAAAGGCAGCAAGGGGGAATGGGCTGCCACAAAAGGGATCCCAGAGAGAGCCCTGCAAGAACTGGTTCCCTGTTGATCTCAAAACTAAAGGAAAGCAGCTGGCTCTGCCAACACTGTGCAGCCCCGAGGACTCACCCTGTTGATTTCCAAGAATCCACTGAGCAGAGAAGACAGGCACAATGAGGAGGGAGAAGCTGGAAGCAGAACCCTTAGCCAAGACACAGAGTGAGTGTTGCAAGTTAAGCACCACTTGCTTTCCTCCTTTCAAGCACTGTAATATTATGCCTACAAGTACAATTTAGCCAATATATTCCTCCTCCACCAGTTTAGAGAAATGGAGTCAGGGAGGCGGGTGTGGAGCAAACAATCCTGCCCAGCACGTCCTTCCAACTCACAACACTTCTCACCTCCTCCCTCTGTACAACAAGCAGCAGCACAAGCTCTGTTCTCTGTCTCCTTGGAAGAAAAAGAGAACATTAGGCATTTTCTCCCTTGACAGTTCAATAGCATCAGAGGAGGAAACACCTACACGTGTTCTCTGTCTCCTTGGAAGAAAAAGAGAACATTAGGCATTTTCTCCCTTGACAGTTCAATAGCATCAGAGGAGGAAACAGCTACACGACAGAAAGTGTTTGTGTAATCTCAGCTGGTAATGACTTTCTGAAGGAGATGGAAATGGAGAGGAACAGGCTGCTAATGCCAGGATTTGCCAAAGACATTCAAGGTTCCATCACTCAAAAGCATGTGTCACAGCTACACATCCATTTTGCTGATAAAAAGATGGCAATTCATTGACAGAGTAGTCAGACTTGACTTCCCAAGGAGAGCTGAAGATTATACCATATGTTCCACCAAATGGAATTTCCCTAGATTTGCAGAAATCCTAACAAGATGTAATGAGCTATTACTGCTTAGTCTGGAAGCAGAAGTCAAACTGACCAACCTCAATCAGCTTTCTAGCATTTGTTAAGAAGCTCCATGATCAACGTGCTTGTTCTGCTAAAATACCTTCTGTTTCTCCACCAATCTGCTATTATATCATCTGATGGCCTTATAGATTCAAATTATTATGTTCCTACTTGATAGTGCTCCAGCCCACACGTCTGGAGGAAAGCTGGATCCTCTTTCAGTTCATGCAGCAGCATCAATTTTGTTTAACCAAGTTCCAAATGAAGAATCTTTATTATTAGCGACGGAGCCAGGAAAGACACAGCTTGAATTTGAGATCCCAGATGGAGGCAGCAAAGCTGGCAGCCAGAAAAACCATCTTTTTGCTTGGAAACTGAACACATGGGATGAGGAGTCATTGAGTGGCAATAATGACATAGCCCCATGATACCATTTGACACTTTACAGCACATTGTTGTCCTTTTTAACTGACAAAACCCCCACACTTGGTGCCACCAACTGCTAAATAGAACCTATTTATACCAACCAGACCTGTTCTGCAGAGGAGGCAACCAACATAGTACTAGACATCCTCTCAAACTGAAGGGAGAACACTATCAGCTCCCACTAATTCACATTTCAGGACACAATTTACTCTGTTTAGCATTACCTTACAGCACAGAAGGAGGGAAGGGTTGGTTAGCTTTTGAGAGGACAGCAGAATAAGCCAGGCAGTGGTTCTGATTTCAGCCCCATTGTTTCCTCACTGCTGTTGTTAGACTGCAATGATTCATCACACATTGATGAATGTTATTAAATTTTTAATTGTTAAGACATTTAATCCCAGAGCTCATGCAGGGCGTGCACAAAACAGCCTCTTCCAGTCTTTTCTGGTGTTGCTGGATTCTACTCCAGCAATCATCATAAAGGGAGCCCTTGGCTACACTCTAGCAGCAAATATGCAGTATGTCCTTCCACAAAAGCTTAATACACCCTCTCCCCCTCCCCTTGCAGTATCTCTGCTGCTCAGTACAGATGAATCACACTTGCAATGTCAAGGAATGAAATCTCCAGCAATAAGGCTGCCCAGAAGCCTAAAGCCTTCACAAAGCACAGAGCTGCTCCCTGGCAGGTTCATTCACCCAAAAGATCCCCATTCACAGGGACCACAAAAGATAGGAGTGGGGATGAAGAGGCATCTGCTTCTGCCCCAGGTCCTCCAGCACAGGGGAGCTGGTCTTAGACACCATCCCCTTGCTATCATGGTATAGTGCTGCCTGCTTAATTTCATTTTCTCAGCATGGCTGAACTGGGAACTGAATGCCTGCTTCAAGAGCAGGTTAATATAAATAACATCCCAACTGCTGTGCATCTTTTTATGAGGTTATGAAGGGACCTGCAACAAAATCAAGGCAGCCAGCATGAAAATC